TCTTTCCCGAGTGAGTCTATCCTCCCTAGACCAAGCAGAGTTGTGGTCAATGATTGTAATGGTCAGTCGATTGAGATCTGCCTTAGTGTGGCCAGGGGATCTCAAATGTCGACTGAGAGGGAGGTCTGGCTTGCATTGGTAGTCGCTACGATGACAGTTCATTCGTTTGTGAAACGGCTGTTCTGACTCGCCAACATACTGTTTACCACATTTATACTGTAGGAGATACACAACATTTGTAGTCTTGCAATTAACATTGCAAAATATGGTGTATTCTGTACCAGTGGAGTGACTGTTAAAAGTCTGGGTAAGAAAAGGTTATTCCAATATATACATAATAATTTTCTTATATATATATATATATATATGTTAAAATATACTTTTTCACTCTTTTGGTCTTTTGGAAAATGTTGTTTGTGCTGTATTTAGACCACTCTACCAAGAAATTTGTTTTGCATGCACACGTATAAAAATTGCGGTTTTTATCCAACGCAATCATAGGTTTGAACGTTGTTTTCAATTTAGACTTGTTTATATTTTTTTGTTTGGGCTTGTATTATATTTGCCTTCGGGTTTATATGATCCGTTCATCCTATTTTGACTCTTCAAAATTCAAGAGTCAATCCCAAATTGAGGTAAATCATATGGCCTTCCAAATACCGTTTCGATTCCTAACATCACTGAAGAGACATTTATTGTCGAAATCCGGATATGGTGTACAAATTTTTGCACCTTATGTTTGCGGTATACCATCTTTTCCGCAAGTTTATTGTTTTCTGTTTGGTATATTATTAATAAATTAAGATCCATTTTTACATCTGGTGATCTGTTTATTTGGCAATCGCCATGGCAGTAAGCAGGGTTTAAGAACATCCGTTGTTCGACCTGCTAGTCAAATGCGTTTTGTTAAAATATACTTTTTCACTTTTTTGGTCTTTTGGAAAATGTTGTTTGTGCTGTATTTAGACCACTCTACCAAGAAATTTGTTTTGCATGCACACGTATAAAAATTGCGGTTTTTATCCAACGCAATCATAGGTTTGAACGTTGTTTTCAATTTAGACTTGTATATATATATATATATATATATATATATATATATAAGAAAAATAATATAAGATAATGACGGTTTCAATTCATCACTTTTACTAGCGCTTTCACTGCTTTCACAGATCTTCAGGTAATGTGACTTGTATACATAAATGTTATAAAACAATTAATTGACGTTAACAATAGTTTGACGTTAACAAATACAAGAGAGACTACTAATGTCATTTTAAAATTGGAGTAAAGTCTTTAAAATGTTTCGTAAAAATTAAAATATTATTTATCATTTAATCCCGGGTTGAGAATGTTTGTGAAGAATTCTTCTTTCTTCTTCCGGAGAAAATCATTTTGACGATTGACCATATACAACGGAAATATTTTAAATCGTCCATTAGAACAACGATGGAAATGGTCGTTAGCCCTGATGATTGTTAAATCTTCATGGTTGGTTTGCTGTCTATGTACAGTCATTCTAGTCCGCAGTTCTGTTTTTGTCCCTCCAATATAGAATTCCTCACAATTTGCACATATGAGAGAATAAATGACGTTTGAACTTTTACAAGACATATTTTGTTTAACTGTGAAATGCTTTCCATTTTTGAAATAAATTGAACTTTCTTCTATTAAATCTGGACATGTCATACATCGTTTATCGGTACATTTTCTAACAATAGGCAAAGTTTCATTATAGTCGAATTTTGAAGATGTTAAATATCGTTTTAGACTTTTTGACTGTCTTTTACTGTTGATAATCTTCTTTTTTTGTAATACTTTGTCCATTTTTTCACTTTTGTGTAAATTATTTTCAATTTGTCGCATGAAACTAAATATATCATAATCTCGTGGGTTATATGTTGTGACAAACGGGATAATTTTGTCTAAACTGTTTGATGATTCTTCGGTTGTTTCGGATCGCCGTGATTCTGTAATGATTGGTCCTTTTATCAGTGCCTTTTGAATTCCGTAATCTATCACTTGTTCCGGATATTGCTGCTTTTTTAAATACACTTTTAATTCTTTTAATCTTTTATTGCGTAATAGTTCTGTACTTGTTATGGTAATTATTCTTGACGCTAGATTAAAAGGTATATTTAATTTTACATGTTTTGGATGATTTGAGTAAAAATTTAAATACATATGTGTATCGGTGTCTTTAGAAAAGATATCTGTGACAATTTCATTGTCTTCCGTTATAAATACCAAAATATCCAAAAACGGCATTCTGTTGACATTTCTGTTAATTGAAACGAATATGTGGGTTTAAAGAATTTAAATCAGAATGAAAATCTGAGACAGATATATCCGAATTCCAAATTATAAAACAATCGTTAAGAAAACGTTTCCAGTTTTGACGTAGGTAAATGGCAAAGTCATTTCCGTATTTGTGGTCCATTTTTTTTGTATAATAATTGTTCCAAATATCCAAGAACTAAAGTACTTTTAGGGGACAGATATTTGTGAGTGTCAGTAGAAAATAGAACTTTGCCTATTGTTAGAAAATGTACCGATAAACGATGTATGACACGTCCAGATTTAATAGAAGAAAGTTTAATTTATTTCAAAAATGGAAAGCATTTCACAGTTAAACAAAATATTTCTTGTAAAAGTTCAAACGTCATTTATTCTCTCATATGTGCAAATTGTGAGGAATTCTATATTGGAGAGACAAAAACAGAACTGCGGACTAGAATGACTGTACATAGACAGCAAACCAACCATGAAAATTTAACAATCATCAGGGCTAACGACCATTTCCATCGTTGTTCTAATGGACGATTTAAAATATTTCCGTTGTATATGGTCAATCGTCAAAATGATTTTCTCCGGAAGAAGAAAGAAGAATTCTTCATAAACATTCTCAACCCGGGATTAAATGATAAATAATAGAGAAGTTTAGCAGTTGAACGTGTGAACGGGTGAAATACACGTACAAGTATACATACACGTACACGTTCATGTCTAATAGATGGCGCAACTTGTACTGGTACATGTAAATACAATTCAACGGAGATTTCGATTGGGCACGATTATCGAATCGGGGAATATCATTCATCGGCAAGATGGCCAATTTTCGTCTGCTAGCTGCAATAGATGAGGAAATAGAGGACGAGTTGTTGCTTCTTTCATGTTATAAGGACAATTCAAATTCAGGAGATGCTTTTAATTTTGAAGAATTATCTGCAGAGGCTTGCAAAAAATTGTTCCGTTTTGAAAAAGATGACATTCCAAATTTATGTACAGCCTTGGGTATCCCAGATTCTTTTGTATGTGACAACCGAACGGTGTGTTCCGGTCTAGAAGCCTTATGTCTTTTATTACGTAGATTAGCTTATCCTAGTCGCCTTTCAGACCTTAAATCTGTATTCGGCCGCTCTGAAACTGCTGTCTATAATCATTAATACAGTATTGAACTTTGTCTACGATGCTCATAACCATCTCTTACATGATTTAAACAGTAATTGGTTATCGCACAGGCATTTACAGGAATACGCTGACGCCGTTGCAGCTAGAGATGCACCTCTTCTTAATTGTTGGGGTTTCATTGATGGGACCGTTCGACCCTTATGTAGACCAACTACAAATCAGCGCATTCTGTTCAATGGTCATAAAAGAGTCCACGCTATAAAATTTCAAAGCATAGTTGCTCCTAATGGACTTGTAGCAAACATGTATGGTCTGATTGAAGGTCGAAGGCATGATGCCGGTCTACTCCGAGAGAGTGGTATTTGTGGAGAACTTCAGACACATATGACAACCCCAACTGGTGACATTTATGTTATTTACGGTGATCCGGCTTACCCCATGACTACACACATCATAAAACCTTTCCGAGGAGGAGTCATTTCAGCAGCACAGGCACGATTCAACAAGAAGATGTCTGCCGTGAGAACATGTGTGGAATGGACTTTTGGCAAAATTTTGACTTTGTTTGCATTTTTGGATTATAAGAAAAACTTGAAGTTGTATTTGCAACCTGTAGGGAAATATTACTTGGTTGGCACTATTCTTGTAAATTGTCATACTTGTCTATACGGTAGCGAGACTGGACATTATTTTGACATTGATCCACCAAGTTTGGAAAATTATTTGTCTGGATGAAGCTATATACACTACGTGTAATTCGTTTTTGTTGTACAATTGATGTGAATTTTGTCTTGAAAATAAAATAAATATTGTTGAAAATATTAAATCTTAAATGTCTAATTCAAGATCCAGACCATATGGCACGTCTAAATAAAACTGAAAGGGTGTAACTTTTTATTCCATTATACATTTATCATAGATATGTTGCAAGAAATTCCTTGAAGGCGTATATGTTATCAATTTTTACCAGCCTTATCATCTCCGATTTAATTAGGTTAAACAATACTGCATCTTCCCCTTGAAAAAAAAGGAAAAAGGAAAAATAAAGTTTCATGATTCCCCTTTTGAAATAATAGGAAATATCCTCATATGAACATTTGTACTTAGTTTCAAGTTGATGCGACTCCATCTTCATCATGAACAACCTTGACAAAAAATCTAACTTAGAATGTACTGTTTTTACACAATCATTTTTCTTTGAACCGTAAAATTTAGGGTCAAAAACTTAATTCAGCAAACAATTTAGAAAGATCATAACATGAGGAACATGTGTACTAAGTTCTACATCATCATTAACTGCCTTGACCAAAACTTAAATTGATACGAGACAGACGGACGGACGGACATGCAGACCAGAAAACATGATGCCCCTTAATTTACTATCAAAGATGGGGCATAATAAAAGGTATAAGTAAGACATTCACACACGAACTATCAACCAAGGTATTCCTGTCTTGGAACCGGTAAACGTCAAATGTGGTGGGGGTAAAACTAAATTGTGGCATCTTATTTCAAGGAGACCATGAGTCAACAACCCACCAAAACAAAATTAAACCAAGCATTTTACTATCTCATTATCAAATCGCACAATATGACACAATGATGATGAAAAATTACAGCAAATTTAGAGTAATCAATATTTTGTATAATATCAGAAAAAATTATTTTTCCTATTCACAAAAATATCAGCTAATTCAGTTCTTGTCTGCGAGCATTCTAAACATTTCAAAAATCATCATCTTTTCCTGTCTTTCAATATCCATTCTCTGTCTCCTCTCGTTTTTCTCCAACTCAAATTTCTCCCTCTCAAACTGTAGTTGTTGTTTCTTCATTTCCATCTCCTCTTTCCTTATTTCCATCTCTACTTCCTTCTTTTCTTGCAGATAAGAAAGAATGTTGTTGGATGATTTTGATTTCTTTGGTCTAATAGCTTCTTCTGCATCACAATCTGTATATAGAAGGTCACATGAAAATATGTTCTTTCCAATTAAAGGTTAAAACAATAAAATAATGAATTATTGTGCTTATGATTTACCTTTGTAATTCAAAAACGTCTGCAATAAAATGCATGTTTCAAATCAACGAAAAACCATAAAATTGTTCTTACCATCTCTGTTTTTAGGGGCATATGAAGATAGTAATAAAAAGATAGTTTACAGCAGAACCAAACATAAACATTTTTTGTACATAAATTAGGCCGTTAGTTTTCTCGTTTGAATTTTATAGCTGACTGTGCGGTATGGGCTTTGCTCATTGTTGAAGGCCGTATGGTGACCTATAGTTGTTAATTTCTGTGTCATTTGGTCTCTTGTGGAGAGTTGTCTCATTGGCAATCATACCACATCTTCTTTTTTTATGATAACCACAACCATTTTATTTTTCAAACTGATTGAGGCGAGTCATTTTATACAAATTGTATTGTAAATATAGAATACCAAAAATAAACTAAAATTATCATGATTTTAACTTACCTTTTGTGGGTGTCAGGGTTTCTTATGCCCTTTTTCTAATGTCAAGGGAAGCCTTTTCTAGGGAAGCTGTTTTTTCTTTATCTGCATCCTTTTTCCTCTCTTCTTCCTCCATCAAACCTATCACCTCCTCCAGTAAACTTTCTCTTTCGCTATATTCCTCATTTATACCTGATCTAAAACATATAATGTAAAATTATAAATCAAGCATAATTAATTCACTCCATTGGAAGGCTTTATATTTGAAACTAAATCAAACACAAAACAAAAAGAACTTGCATTTGATTTGAAAGCTAATAATTTTAATAACTCTTTTTAAACACTTTTACATTTTTAATAAATCTTTTTAAACACTTTTACACTTTTAATAAATCTTTTTCATTCCTGTTCTTAAGTTAAAGGCAATTGATTTTAGGGGGCTGCTCATTTTCTGGAAAATATTTATTTTTATTTTTATGAAAAAATGTACCAATGTACAAAATGTAAATAAGACACCCCATGGAAAATCACTTACTTTTTCAAGTTTTCCCTATTATCTTTTTTGAATTGGGTAATTAACAAGTTGGTCCTCTCTCTAGCCCGTCTAGCTCCATCTATTAGGAAGGTTGTTGTCGAGAGTTTTTCGCCTATCTCTATCCACTTCCCTTTATTTCGGAATGGATTGTCTAATGTGACCTCCCTTAGCAGTTTAATATCATCAGCCACAGAAAATCTTGCTTGCTTTTTTCTTGCAGGAGTACAAGATGCCATCTTTAAGTGTCCTGTAAGATATGAAATATTTTCTACAAATCAAAATAAATGTATGAAACTTGTAATTTGTTAACAAAATTATGGTAAAGATATGGATAGGGAGGAAGACTCTATTACAGAGTCAATTTAGAAGGAAATTCTTGTATTTATTATTCACTTTGTTTTCCTCCGTTGGTAGCAACAGAGACATATAATACAATTGTATTATATGTCTCTGGTAGCAAGGTATTGCGGCAACGTCAATCAAAGGGATATATTCTTCATAAAATTCATTTTAGGTACATTTCAGTGACAAGTGCCCGCTTGGCGGCCCATATATTTCTTTTCATTTGTAAACAACAAAATAATCTTCTGAATTCAATGTAATTAGAGCTGCATACTCCCGAGAGAAAAAAGAAATTATTTTACTGCTGTTTTCATTGAAAGAATGTTCAGAAAATCCAATAAAACTCAGAAGTTTTTACTTACGTGTAAATCCCGCCTTACAAGTTCCCAATGGCGTGTACTTGTAAAACGTCGCATACATTGATGACGTATAACGCACTGCATCAGGGAATTTCCCTACTACCCGTACCCGTACACGTACACGTCTGCTTTGCTAAACCTCTCTAATATTTTAATTTTTACGAATCATTTTAAAGACTTTACTCCAATTTTAAAATGACATTAGTAGTCTCCCTTGTATTTGTTAACGTCATACTATTGTTAACGTCAATCAATTGTTTTATAACATTTATGTATACAAGTCACATTACCTGAAGATCTGTGAAAGTAGTGAAAGCGCTAGTAAAAGTGATGAATTGAAACCGTCATTATCTTATATTATTTTTCTTATGTGTTACCAGCATACGGATTCTATTTGACTTTTCTTTATCTATTTACGTGTGTATTGGAAGGATAATACTCGGGATTCAAACAATTGAGAATCATCATTAGTATGGAGACTACAGCATTTCAAGAATTATCAAGTAAGTTGATATTAATTCATGAAGATTTAAGAGAACTGATAAATATTACAAAGGCACAAAAGATTGATGAATCTAAAATTATTGAAACTCTTAAACGAGAACTGAAAATAACGTTCAACATTGTGGATGAGCAGCAAGCCTTCAACTCAGAAGAACTTATAATAAATTCTTCACAAGATGTTTACAATGTATGAAAATCCATTATTTCATTATGGAAACGAAAATTAAATGAGAGAAAACAAAATTTCTGGAACTTTCTTAAAAATCAAAATACTGTAATTATTTACGAAACATATGGTTGGGAAAAGAAATGCCGGTAATTCCGAGGAAGTTCAGACCAAAAACCATTCCCGGAGAACACACAGATGACGTTGGTATTCGTCGCGAAAATGCTATTCGTAATTTTGAAGTTGAAATTAAATTGTTGAAAAATAAAGCTAACAGATATGAAGATAACTACAAAAAAATAGATGAAGAAATGTACGAAACTTTTGTTGCTAAGTTTAACGCCGAGATCACAGAAGGTATTAACAATTTATGGAGATCTGAGTGTGAAAAAGAAGAAATTAAATCTGTACAAATCTGGAAGCGGAAACAGCTTTGGCTTGAAGAATACGAAGAAAATTTCGGTGATTTATTCGTTACTGAAGAAAACCCACAGTTTGATAACCAATACATAAAGAAGAGCATTCCACAGAAAAAAAGGAAAGTACAAAGAAATTATCCCGGAACTACACATAATACTGGCAATAACATTACAAACCAAGTATCACATAATCTCCGCAGAAATTTACAACCCCGAAATACACCAAAATTTAAACATCAAAAGCATATCTCTTAACAAACAACAAACGTGAATCAGAATAACTATAATTTGAGATTATGAAGAAATCCCGCACCAGATAGAAGACAACAAAATTTCATTAATGATAATGGTACTACATACATAGGGAAAAACGTACAGAACCATTTTTTAGGACAACGCATGATGAATGACAAGGGCGGATGGACAACAGACCGCAGTATACGGAACACAATTCTATCATCAGAAACAACGAATACCCAGGAGACGTTCCGGAAGGAAATAGCCTAACAAACACGGAAAAAATGCACCCTAGAATTATAAACTTGTCGCATAAAAAATTACAATTAAGGGACATAAATCTTTTAAAAAGAGGATTAAAATTTACACCAACTCCAAATGAGGACAAAACACAACTTGGAGCCGACATTGATGAATTTGGCAGAAGATTGAGGATAAATTATATTTTTTGTGAGGATAATGAAGAAAACGAAGAAGAAGAAAATAAACCACTAGTAAGAAATAAATCAGACTGGATTCCAAAACCCACAAAAGATAAAGATTTAGAAGAAACAATTAAAACATTAAAAACGAATTCATTTCAAAGCAATAAAAATGTCAAGGACAATTTAACCCACGAGGAGAAAACAGCTTTTCAAAATTTAAAATCAGATAAATCAATAATAATTAAAGACGCGGATAAAGGGAATGCGGTTGTAATCATGGACCGTGAGTATTACCGAGATAAAATTTTAAATATGTTACAAGATGAAATGTTTTATGAGGTGACAGATAAAAAAATGGACAAACAAACAAGTACATTGATTGAAAAGTTACTAGATAAACATAAGACTGAATTGTATAAAGAAGAGATGGATTACATTTCAAACTCTAAATTTTCAGAAAGCTATTTCTATGGTTTACCTAAAATTCACAAAAGTGAGGAAATTTCAAATGCGGTATCAGAACAAAACAGTGAATACATAGAACTTTTAAGACCAAATGATTTAAAATTTCGACCTATTGTGGGCGGACCCAACAGCGTCACACAGAATTTAAGCCATTTTATAGACATTGTGATTAAACCTTTATGTCGTGAAGTTCCTAGTTTTATACGAGACGATTTGGAATTTTTAAATCATCTACCAACAACTGTAAATCCTAATTCAGAACTCATTACTTTTGATATTGTCAGTCTTTACACAAATATCCCACATGACTTAGGAATTACAGCCGTAAAATATTGGTTAGAAAATACGGAAAACGTCATTGAAAACAGATTAACATTAGAATTTATCCTTGCATCTTTGAAACTTATATTAGAAAGAAATAGTTTTTACTTTGACGGCACATACTATCATCAGAAAAAAGGAACAGCTATGGGTACTAAAATGGCGCCTTCATACGCCACTTTAGTACTTGGATATTTGGAACAATTATTATACGAAAAAATGGACCATAAATACGGAAATGACTTTGCCATTTACCTACGTCAAAACTGGAAACGATTTCTTGACGATTGTTTTATAATTTGGAATTCGGATATATCTGTCTCAGATTTTCATTCTGATTTAAATTCTTTAAACCCACATATTCGTTTCACAATTAACAGAAATGTTAACAAAATGCCGTTTTTGGATATTTTAGTACTTATAACGGAAGACAATGAAATTGTCACAGATATCTTTTCTAAAGACACCGATACACATATGTATTCAAATTTTTACTCAAATCATCCAAAACATGTAAAATTAAATATACCTTTTAATCTAGCGTCAAGAATAATTACCATTACAAGTACAGAACTATTACGCAATAAAAGATTGGAAGAATTAAAAGTGTATTTAATAAAGCAGCAATATCCGGAACAAGTGATAGATTACGGAATTCAAAAGGCACTGATAAAAGGACCAATCATTACAGAATCACGGCGATCCGAAACAACCGAAGAATCATCAAACAGTTTAGACAAAATTATCCCGTTTGTCACAACATATAACCCACGAGATTATGATATTTTTAGTTTCATGCGACAAATTGAAAATAATTTACACAAAAGTGAAAAAATGGACAAAGTATTACAAAAAAAGAAGATTATCAACAGTAAAAGACAGTCAAAAAGTCTAAAACGATATTTAACATCTTCAAAATTCGACTATAATGAAACTTTGCCTATTGTTAGAAAATGTACCGATAAACGATGTATGACATGTCCAGATTTAATAGAAGAAAGTTCAATTTATTTCAAAAATGGAAAGCATTTCACAGTTAAACAAAATATGTCTTGTAAAAGTTCAAACGTCATTTATTCTCTCATATGTGCAAATTGTGAAGAATTCTATATTGGAGAGACAAAAACAGAACTGCGGACTAGAATGACTGTACATAGACAGCAAACAAACCATGAAGATTTAACAATCATCAGGGCTAACGACCATTTCCATCGTTGTTCTAATGGACGATTTAAAATATTTCCGTTGTATATGGTCAATCGTCAAAATGATTTTCTCCGGAAGAAGAAAGAAGAATTCTTCATAAACATTCTCAACCCGGGATTAAATGATAAATAATATTTTAATTTTTACGAAACATTTTAAAGACTTTACTCCAATTTTAAAATGACATTAGTAGTCTCCCTTGTATTTGTTAACGTCATACTATTGTTAACGTCAATCAATTGTTTTATAACATTTATGTATACAAGTCACATTACCTGAAGATCTGTGAAAGTAGTGAAAGCGCTAGTAAAAGGGATGAATTGAAACCGTCATTATCTTATATTATTTTTCTTATGTGTTACCAGCATACGGATTCTATTTGACTTTTCTTTATCTATTTACGTATGTATTGGAAGGATAATACTCGGGATTCAAACAATTGAGAATCATCATTAGTATGGAGACTACAGCATTTCAAGAATTATCAAGTAAGTTGATATTAATTCATGAAGATTTAAGAGAACTGATAAATATTACAAAGGCACAAAAGATTGATGAATCTAAAATTATTGAAACTCTTAAACGAGAACTGAAAATAACGTTCAACATTGTGGATGAGCA